AGATATCAAGGCTGTACGATGCCATCACAATTCTCGAACGACTCGTGCTGCAAACCGTTAAGCTGTGAGAATCATTTAAAACCGTAGGACAACCGCCCACATGCCGGCTGCACAAGTCCAGAGTCTGAGGGCACAGCAGCTCTTTCAGCCTTGGGGCGGAGTTCAATCCTAGCAACTCCCAGCACAAAGCACGCAATCCAGAAAGCCTTGGGCCACAATCCTAAACCCTCCACCGAGAAGGAGCCAAAACGCCCTTGTTCTGCCCAAAGACACCAAGCGACAAAAGCCCTCAAGAGTAAAACCTACAACACTGGAACTATACTGAACTTAGAACCCTAGCAAAACTTATAACTTTAGCTGTCTCTTAGGGAATATAATAACCAAAAATTGAAAAATATTTCTAAGTACCCCTAAGGAAAGGCCAACGGTCATTTTGGTATACCTTTAGAAGGTCGGCTCACAACCGCCCGACTTGGGTCTAAAGCGAACAGAAGCAGCCTGCAAGCAAAAGCCCGCATGTCCGGTTCACTTCTTTCTGCCGTCCGGCTAGATATGTGAAGTCTCCAGCTTCTTAGGGCCAAGCAAACACTTTGCAACTACATGTTTGCTTCAAGGGTTTAGGGGTTAGGGTTACGGGTTGGTTTGGGAGGTTATGGCCGTGGTATTATGAGGATGAAGATGTGTGCCGGGATATTCTAGGAGCCTTAACGATTCGAATCGGGTGCTGGGCTATATAAGAATGGTACAAAACTAATGAGGAACCTTATCATCTTACTGTTCTCTGGCTTTATTATCAGTGAATGTGAGCTGTTTCTGGTTGCGACGACGACCACGGCGAAGACAACGAGCATGCATCATGCCGCCATGGTGCTACTGACTGCACCACGGTTCAACAGGATCATTAGTCAAGCAGCTGGCAACGACAACGACGACGACAACGACGACGACAACGACGACCATGACGATGCTGATTTATGGTAAAAACGAGATCGGGCTGAACAACGATGTGATCTAAGTCTACAAAACAAACACAATCAACATAAAGCTGACGATGACGGCAGTGGAAATCTGCGATGTGTTCTCGCGACGACGTGGATGACGGACATGACAACGGCTACTGATGCGACGACAACGGCAAGACATATTCCGATGTTGATGGTTACGATATGGAAGCTCTCTCGCGTCTTTGGATCTCCTACGCAGCCAGCGCAAAATGTGGTGATGATGCTGATGTTGGTGATGATGCGGCTAAGGCAGATGTTGTAATTTAAGTGATGATGACTGCTTGTTAAGTCATGACACTTCCCGGCGGCGATAGGAGCATGAAGATCAGCACCCCTTGATACTGTTGATGATATAAATCCTGCATCACCTTAAGGACCGTAGACTATGGGAATTATGGTATGTTCCTTATGGGTAATGCAGGACTTATATCATCAACCGTAGGGTCTAGGCTTTAGGGATCTCCAGCGGCATAGGCCCGCGGCAACGCAAGCAGATCTTCATGCAACGTAGAAGAGCTTGCTTGTGCCTTGCGGCTCATGGGAGGTCGGGGGAATTGGGATTGGTAGCTTCAGAGTCTCAGTATTCTGATTGAGGCTTCAGCTTCACTGTTTCAGAGATCAGGTTTGATATGGGTGCCTCAGGGTATATAATGGGATCTTTGTAGAGGGACTATAGCTAAAGGAATGCCACGAGTTCCTAAGTACTCCTAAACCCTCGTAGAAACGAATACCCAGAGGCTCCATATACATATATATATAGAGAGAGAGAGAGAGAGAGAGAGAGAGAGAGAGAGAGAGAGAGAGAGAGAGAGAGAGAGTACCATTATGGAATTGGGTTCCAAACGACCATCCATATCATGGCTTTGGGGACCTAATTCCATAATGGTACTATATTTGGAGTCTTTAGGATATATAGAAGCCTTGAAAGGAACCCTTGGGATAGGGTTTGGGGATTAAGCTTTGCAGACCTCCGTTGCGTCTTCTCCTCAAACTCTCAGGACATGGTGCGGGCTAATGCAGCTGTGGGCTTAGGGATTATAGGAATTCGGCTTCAGCTTGGGGCTTGGGGTTTAGGGATTCAGGTTTTCGTTTTGAGTAGAAATGAAAGCTCCAGAAGCTATGTTTGCAAGGTACCACCTTACCGGAACCCTAAACCCTTAAAGGAACCCCCAAAAAATAACCCTGAAAGAAGCCCGGAAGGGCTCCTTTCAGGAGTCCTACGGTTTATGATATAAATTCTGCATTACCTTAAGGATTAAGGACCCTAAACTATGGGATTTACGGTATATTCCTTATTATGGGTCATGCAGGAATCCACCGTACCAGAACGCGGGAATCAGCTTCCTCAAAAGCCAGCAGCCCCAACTCTTGAGGTTTCTGCTGGGGTTGGTGCCTTCCTAGACCACCAAAAGTTGGTAGAATAATGGCCCAAAACCTATAAAAGGCTATCATTCTACATACTTTTGGGTCCAGGTTGAGGTTCAAGGCTGTCTGGTTTCGGGGTTCAGGTCTTAGAGTGGGTGGCTTAGGGTGTGGAGTTTAGTGGTTCAGGGTTTAATGGTTTAGTGGTGTATGGGATTCAGGGCCGCTTGGGGTTTAGGCTTAAAGTCGATGCTTAGAGCATCCAGTGAGCTGTCCCGCGGAGAAAAACAGCAGCAAATGTCTTTGACGGGCCCTGCATCACACTGCGGCCTGTCACATCCCAAACCCTCAGCTGTGAATCGCTGACAGATCGAAACTAGGATACCCAGTAACCTAAGAATAAAAAGGCCTCTCTTTTTGGTATTGGGTAGCTTTATAAGGAAGCTAGGACTACAAAAAAGGAATAAGGGTACTACTGGGCATCCTAGGAAAGGACGACAGATTCCAAGCCCTGAGCCCGATTGAGCTCTCTGGGTCCAGACTGCCTAGCGGAGCCTGATCAAGAAACCTTGGGTCTTTGTTGGGTCTTTATATGAGGTTCTTAAATGTCTTAGAGTCTTATATATATATATATATATGGATCCAAATATTTTGGGGTTCTAGAACCACGGTGTCTTAATCAGGTTCCACATTTGAGGGTGACCCGTTTTTCAGGCTCGGAGCATAGCATTTGTAGAAGAAGGATGAAGAAACAAGTCAGACTTTCTCACGGGCCAGTGGCGCGGAAATCCGTAAAGAGATCACCGGATACTTACAAAACAAGCAAACCTTACGACGATAGCCTTCTGCATACCATAAACCCTAAATGAAAGGAAATAATCGAGTGCTCGTACCAAGCCTTGTAGCAAGCGCTATCGGGCTTGGAAGAAATAATTGTATAAACACTTATAAATGTCACCTTAAGGAAGGGTCCAGCAAAGAAACAGCAAAGAAGGGTACTCCAGAGCCCAGGTTATACTTATAGTCAGCCTTGCAGTACGTAACCCTAAACCCTGATAGTACTTGGAGGATCATGGGGATCATGGGGCTTAGTAAGTAAGGTTATAAGTACCTTAATTGGGTTATAAGTAGATATAAGTATAGTTACCCGAATAATAACCCTTGTTACTAAGTCCCATGATCCTTTAAGTAGCCCTTGAAAGATCTCCCGCTTCCAGGCAAATGGCCTTGGCACAGCCCCGTTCTGTGAGCCGCAGCAAAGCTGCTGCGGCCAGGGGTGCCAAGGGAGCCTGGCGCGATTGCGAAAATCAGGAGCCTACTCCCGGGTTTCGGGCTTAGGGTATTTACATTGAGTGACAATCCTCAGCAGGAGCAACACACTCTGCACCAAACCCTAAACTCTAAACCTTAAGCCCTAAACCCCCTGAACTTCCAAACCGAAAAAAACCCAAACCTAAACCTTAAACCCTGAATCCTAAACCCAAAACCCTAAACCTTAAACCCTGTATCCTAAACGTCCGCACGAACCACATCCCAGATGCCTCGTGGTCTTGCGTCTCAGAATGAGGAGACCTCTCAGTCTGCTCGAGGTTTAGGGTTTAGGGATTAAGGGTTTGGGGTTTAGGAATTCAGAGGTTTGGGGTTTAGGGTTTGGGGTTTGGGGTTTAGGGTTTAGGATTTAGGGGTTTGGGGTTTAGGATTTGGGTAGTTGTCAAAATTAGGGTCCCTTTTTGGGTACCCTAAATATTATGTCCCGTATTATAATAAGGACCCAAAATTGGTCCATAACTTTGACAACTATCACTCATTTAAGGGTTTACGGTTTGGGGCGGAAGAGGGCTTAGGGTTGAAGAGGCGCAGTAGGCATAGTGTGCAATGGCTTAACATAGCATTGTGAGACCAATAGTGCAGTAGTATAGTGCAGCATTTACCGGGACCCCAGAAATATGCAGAATAATGGCCTTTTAGAGGTTTTGGGCAGATAATTTGCCTACTTTTGGGGGCTCAGGTAGGGTAGGTAGGGTGCTGTGGTTTAGGAGGGTTTAGCGGGTGCACTTGCAACCGGAAGCTCCAAGGCGAACGCAGCTGCACGAGCCCTCAAAGCCCTAAGAGGTTCCTCTGCTGGGGAATGTTAGAAGGGGCCCCCACCCTGTAATAGTGGTATAATAGGAATAGAATAAGGCCCTCATATAACCCTTGTTATAGTCACTATTACAGGGTGGGGGCAGCTTCTAAGGAATATGGCTCGTTTCATAAGGGGGAACCTCTCTTTACACAACCACAAAATTCAAGACCTCGCTCTGGGTTTATAGAGATATGGGGCTTTAAGTCTCGATGTTGGCCCGCCCCCGGTCCCAGTCAGTGTGCACTTGTGAGGTTTATCTTTCTTTTTGAGGGTTCCGGTGGGTTTTGGTCGAAGCCCCTTTCGAAATTGAGGGGCCTCTTTTTGGGCGTAAAAAAAAGCCAGAATAGGGCCATTATACTATGCTTATAATAGGAACCCCCAAAGATAAAGATTTGCAAGTATTTAAGCCCCTATACCATAGAACCCTACTTATAGATCCCGTATGGACGCCCTTTAACGAACCCTTGAAGGAGGGCCCCCTGGCACTTCTTTTTGAGCCCACGCCGCGGTCATGGGCAGGAGTAATACCGGATCCTGCCCGGCCGCAAAGCTTCATTGATCCGCGGGCAGACTTCGCGATTCCAGACCTGTCTCAGAGGAGTTCAGGGATTCCTAAGCGTAGGGTGTCTATGTAAGTAGGCAGGTAGATAGGTAGGTAGGAGGGCAGGTATGCAACCGTACCCATGTAACGGTATGACCCGGTAAAACTAAGGAACAAATGGGTGTTTCCGAGAATAAGGGACCCTCATATAGTACCCTAAATAGTAGGATCCCTGTGATAAGGACCCCCAAAAAAGGTATCCCCAATTTTCTGAAATCTTAAACCGTCAACCCTTAGAGAACCCTTTAAAGCAACCCTTATAGTACCCTTGCAGTAACCCATTTAAGGAACCCAAAGACCATGAGGTAGTCTGAACTCTCGGGAACTCCCATATGGGGAACTGGACTTTGAAGTAACCAGGGAGAAAAAAGAATAGACTTTTATTTCATAATGGTTCCGCGACAATCTGGAGGGGGGGGGGGGGGGCTTTATTTCATAATGGTTCCTTTAAGGAACAGGTACCAAAAAACGTATTCAAGTATACAGTAAAAGCTCCAAAGTTGGAAACTCCATAGCCTCAGCCCTTAAGAGAAATATACAGGGAACCCCAGCACTATTTGGCCTTATTCCGGCTCCCAACTTTCTGGGGTTTACTGTAGAGTTTAGAATCAAAAGCCTAAATCCTAAACCCTAAACCCTAAACCCTATACCCTAAACCCTAAACCCTAAACTCCTAAACCCTAAACCCTAAACCCAAACCCAGGGGAATTCGGCCTCCACTTTCTGGAGCAGCCCGGTCATCGACCGGTGCACGAAGAAGACCTGGGGTTCAGGGTTTATAAGGGTTTAGGGTCTCGGGATTTAGGAAATTCGGGTTTCGGGCTTTAGGGGTTTAGGACATTAGGGTTTAGGGGTTTAAGGGCCGAGGGTTCAGGGGTTTAGGGGTTTAGGAATTCAGGGGTTTAGGGCTTTAAGGGTTTAGGAATTAGGGGTTTAGGAAACTAGGGTTTTGGGGCTTAGGAAATTAGGGTTTATGTCTTTAGGGATTTAGGGGTTTAGGAATTCAGGCGTTTAGGGCATTAGGGCTCCAGGGGTTTAGGAAGTTAGGGTTTGGGGGTTAGGGGTTGAAGGGCTTAAGGGCTTAGGGGTTTAGACATGGGGTTGCGGAGAGATCTTTTTTTAGGTGATTGAGGGTTTAGGGCTTTCTTGTGGTCATTTCGGGTTTAGGGCTGTCTTTTGTATATTTACGGCTTACATTTCTTTGAGACACCTTGTGCCTATAGGGTTTAGGCTTTAGGGGTTGGGTTTTCAGGTTGCAAGCTGTCTCTGCACCTCAGACCCTTGGTTATTGTTTACTCGGACTCCTAAATGGTCCCTAACCCCTAAACACCCCAATCCTAAACCCAAACCCATAAAACCTTAACAGAAGTTCCTGGACAGCTCCGAGGGGCGTCCCTGTGGAGCTGCGTGGCATTGACGTAGCCCTGGGAGGTAAGGAGCTCGGCGACCTTCTGGAAGCTGTTGTCCTGGGCTCTCTTGGTGCTTCTAGAGATGGCTTCAGGGCTTATAGTTTATAGTTTAGCGGTTTTTGGGCTTTGGTTTACAGGGTTTAGATTTTAGGATTTTAAACGGTTTTGTGAGGGATCTACAACAACAGGCTTGTTCGCTAGACAGGCTTTATGTGTCTTATGAGGGCTTGTCTGAAGGATGGTTTGTGTTTACAGGCGTTCTTATCAAACAAACTACGCCGTGGGTGTCACCCTTACCCATAGGCTCCATAGTAGTTCCTTGTTGGGATCACCTTATAGGCTCCTGATATAAACATAAACCACAAACAGGAACTACAATGGAGCCTATGGGCAGTTTCGACTACGAGTTGCATTATTCTTTCGTAGCAGCTTTAATGTTGGTAACTTCAGGGTGTTCTGAGGGTTTAGGGTGTAGTGAGGGTTCAGGCTGTAGGGTTTATGCTGGCAACTTCCAGGGTGTCACCAGTTGGAAGCTCCAAGTGTACAAACAGTACTGACTGGGGGTCGTACTGCACCGGCTCTTGGGAACCCAGGGGAAAATTCCTACTGTTTAGCAGGCTCAGCTTCGTTCCCTTCGACGAGGATGGTGTCGATGGACACTAGGTTCCAGTCGATGCCTTCTAGGCACGCCAGCTCAGCTCCTTCAACCTTAGTAAGCGCTACCGACACCTCATCAGCAACTTCTGCGGATGGGTTGTACATTGGGGTTCCTGTGCTACTACGCAGGGTGTTTTGCAACATTGGAAGACCAGTACAACCAGTTAAATGACTTCAGCTGGTAGCAGGTCGAAACTTTATATATATGTATATGTATAGCTGCAGACTTGTACTGTCGAGCTTTTTTGTGGTAAGGCTTATTACAGACATCACTCCGGACTGATGCACCTACTCCTTAACCCCTGAACTCAAAACATAACCGTAAAGCCCTAAACAACCTCAGCTCCTAAACCTCTAGGTCCCTAAACTCTGAACCTCGACCCCAACAACCCCGGTTAGGACCCCAGAAAAGCAATCAAAAATTAGGATAGGGATATCCCATATAAACCCCCTTATACTGAAGTCCATTAAGGTAGGGATATCCCTATAAAATGCTTATGCTTATGTGCTTTTTTGGCCCCTGACCGGCTCTTAGAGCTGCCAGTTAGCAATGCACGGGCCTGAATACCCAAAGGGTCCTATGTACTGTTATGAAAAGGGATCTATAGGGGCTCCTTAAAGGGATCTATGGGGTTAAGGGTTTAGGCTCTACTTAAAGGATCTATACCCTAAGGGTCCTAGGTACTGTTATGGGGGATACTTCCCTAAGTCATAATACTAATTCCTAATATGGAAACCCTACATTCCACTGTATCGGTACATAGGACCCTTTGGGATAAACCTGCAAGGGTTTCTGGGTACAGTAAAGTATAGTAGATGCACATAGGGGCTAAATCGGGATGCTTTGTAGTAGAAGTACATGCAGATCACTAAACATATTGGGGAAAACAATTTTTCCCCAATATGTTTAGTGATCATATCAGCCTTATGACCTAAGTCCTGGCCTTTGCGACCTCTAGAAGCCCGAACCTTGCATCGCAAGCGAGACCCCAAACTCCTATAGATCCCTGAGGGAACCCTTTAAGGATCCTTGTAGAAGCCTCTATGGTTCCTTATAGAGCCCTTTAAGGATCCTTATAGAACCCTTAAAGGATCCTTACAGAACCCTGATAGAACCCTTTAAGGAACCCTTCAACAAGGAGCCCTAACCCCTGACCCCTAAACCTGAACCCTAAACCCCTAAAACCTAAACCCCTAAACCCCTCTAATAAACGCCTACACCCCTAAACTCCTAAACCCTAAACCCCCAAACAAGCAACGTCCAGGCTCATGAAGTCGACGTGGGTCATCCCATGAGCTTTGAAGACATCTGACAGCGTCTGGCAGGTCATCGTGGTCCTCTTTCCTCGTTTAGGGTTTAGGTTTTAGGATTGAGGGTTTAGGGTTTAGAGTTTAGGGCTTAGGATTTGGGGTTTAGGGTTTAGGGAACCAGGGCGTGCATTGCCATATGTTCTAGCGTTATGGAATTATGTCTCGCAAGGCCATCTCCAGTATGATTTTGGGAACCCAACTCCATAGTCGTGTATGGACCCTCTTGGCAAGGAATAGGAAAATGGAGCCTTTTAATCTAAAAGGGCTGCCTTTGATAACACAAAGGAAACCCTAGCCACGAAAAGCAACAAAGATCCTGACATTGACCAGGCTTCCTCCAGTGGCTGTCTTCTTCAGAACCTTCCGCTCACTTTCAATTCCTCCGAAAGGTCCTTGCAGTACGAAAGTAACATCCTTCTTTTGCTCCGCGATGCATGTCTTCACGACGGCGCAACGGCGCTTCCTCGCAGACTCCGACCGGGACCAAACTAAGGAAAGCCATCATCCAATCCCTCTATAGGGTATACCAGAGGGCTCAGCAAAAAGGCCTGAGGTGGAGCTACAGTCAAGATATGGGGATGATCTAAGCTCGATGCTCATACCAATGTGGATGAGGATGCTTGGATCAGGCTAAAACCCCTGTCGGGAAGAAATGATCTTTGAGGCTCGTGATCAACTCGCTGTGGTAGTCGCTATTCGGCTCGATGCACACGCCATCAAATTTCAAGCAGTGGTCCGCGAAGTACGTGTTGCTGATGTATCCTCGTTGACAAGGCTTGGGGAAGCTCCCCTGGGTTGAGGGCCTCTGCATTTTTTACTTACTAGCCAGGTTATACCCAGCAGCGGCTTAATGCTAAGGCTACCCTTTTTGATAATATTCGCTTTCAATATTCGGAGACCCCCCAAAACAGGGTAAATTGTCTGGCTTTCTGAACCCATCTTTAAGGTTTCAGGTTTGTTAGGGTTTAGGGGGTTTAAGCTTTGTAGGGTTTAAAGTTTAGCCTTCGGGTTTATGCACAAGGGTTTACACGCACACCATAGTCGGAATTTACAGGACCAGAAGGAACCTAGAAAAAGGGCCCAGTAGATGAATCATAGGGACCTTTAGGGGGTAGAGGGCGGGGGGGGGGGGGTGTAAGGGGCCTTAATGCCCATAATTCTCATAAGGACCTGATAAGGCCTATCTAAGGAAGTATAGTCCCTTACCCCCGTCCCCTTTGCCCCCCTGAGGGTCCCTATAATTGAAGGAGCCCCCCCATGTGCTGCCAGAAGGCGGAAGTCATGTGCAGCCAAGTCCACATACACACCAGGCCGTGACAAATGCCTCCACAAGACCGTGTAGAGGAAAACATCCTGTAGGCCTTGACTCACAAATCCTCTGCAATTTCGGTCTTTGCTATTTCTGCAGTCTCCACCTCCCGACCTGTGGTGTTCTTTCAGTACCTCGGCTCGTACACAAAACCCTCAATCCAGGCTGCGAAGCACTGAAAGTCCCTTCAAGCCCACGTTAAAAGGAAAGCCACTATCTTAAAACCTCACTCCTAAAAACCCTGTAGAAAAAAAAACGACTTGCTAAACAAACTCTCAACCATAACCCTAAACCCTAAACCCTAAACCCTAAACCCTAAAACCCTTACACCGACTCCAGGAACCCACCTGCAATGAAAAAAGAAGCTGGGGCCCGAGCCATAACTCCGAAAACGATCCCCGACCCCAGACAGTGTCATCTCCTACGAGAACCCTCACTTCTGCACCCAGAAACTCCAATATCTATTCATCGTGGGGATTTAGTATTTAGGGCTCTTAGGGTTTAGGGCTCTTCCTTCACGACCATCAGCAGGTTCGAAAAAACTGCCAGTGGCTACATCCGAAAGCCGCTGAAGTTGGACCAAACCCTCAAAACCCAAACAGCACCCAAGCAGCCCGCGCGAATCCCTTGAGACGCGAGCTCGAAGACCTCAGCCCTAACTAGAACTCCCGAAGCCCTAAACCGCCAGACAAATCTGTCTCCAGAAATGATCGCAATCATTCAACCCTGGCCCACTAAAGACAGGATCCCAAACCCTAAACACTGAACCCACAATCAAAACCCCAAGCCCGTACACCCAAATATGGAAGCTTATTGCTAAGGATAGCTTTCCTGGAAGGAACCCTGTAACTCCTTCATGGAGAACACTCGTACAATAATTCAGCCATCCAAAATCCTATAATTACCCCGAAGCCCCTAAACCCGAAACCCCCAAGCCCAAGACTCTAACCCCACACCCCAAAGCCCCAAGCCTTAAACCCTAAACCCCCCAAACCCTAAACTCCCCCAAGCCTCTCTAAGTTGCTGAGTTCATAAGCCCCCCCCAAAAGTGTACACTTTCAGTTCTATAGCGGTTAATATTACTTTCAGTTCTATAGCGCTTAATATTATCCTAAAAACTGTAAAGTGTATCCACTCAGCTACTAAGCGACTCTATAGAAACCCTACCGATGGCAGTTAGGATTGGGGGGACCCTCGGGGATATAGACCCTCTCAACAAGGCCGCTTTTAAGAGAGCCAGAAGTAGGGTTCGGAAGGGGTACCGTTTAAGGGGTGATGATATAAATCCTGCATTACCTTAAGGACCCTAAACTATGGGAATTATGGTTTATTCATATAGAAACCCTACTGGTACCGAGCGGCCCTTACCCAAAGCTCGGGGCCGAAAGGATCGTCTTTGAAACCCTTTCGGCTGAGGGCAGTCTTACACTCCTCCATGGGGTTTAGGGATCCTTAGGGTTTAGGGGTTTAGGGCTTTGGGGTTTAAACGGGTTAGGGTTAAGTTGCCAGGCTTGAGGGCATCAGTGAGGTTCGGAACTTACTCGAGCTACGCTATATACATGGGAGCTTCAGAACATAAGGGAACCTGTAATAATATGGCCCCAGCAGGAGGACAAAGGAAAAGATAATCCTTAGTTTTCTGACGGTAGCTACTGACATAGTATAGGGTTGGGTTGAGGGTTTCAGGTTTCGGGCTTAAGGCTTAGAACTTGAGTTAGATCAACCCCGACCCACCCTCGCAAAAAAGGTCCTCTGCCACGCCGTTCTTGAACGCAGCATTTATCTTCGCTTCCTTTTGCAGCACCAGTGTATGCAAGTGGCTCTGAGCGCCGGCACCAGAAAGAGCCGGAGTGGAAGCGTCAGCCGTGTTGGCCACCGCAGTCTCCGGCAGAACTACTTCTTCTTCCTCTTACGGTTTGGGTTTAGGGTGACAGGGTTCTTCATGTTGGCGATTTAAGGATTCAGGGCTTGTTGGGACTGAAGGTTCTGGGGTTTAGGGTATATCAACTCTTGAACCTTGTTTCTTGTGGCATTACCTCCGAAGGCTTGTGAAACGTAAAGCCTGAAGGCCTAAACATACGTGCTTCGCTCGTTCCTAGTTCTCCTCCTCTACATACACCCTTCATAAATCCCTAAAGCTCGAAGTTTTCCGAGATCCCTCAACTGCGAACCCCTTCAACCCTCCTGCGCCGACGGAGAGCTCTGTTCAAGCTGCAGATGTGCCGAAATCTTCTCCAGTTGCTCAGCTAGAAGCTGCGTTTTGCCTTGCGCTTTGAGGGTTTTAGCCTGAAAGACTCTAAAAGGGATCGTTTATTAACAATTGTAAGGTTTCGGGGTTTAGGGTTTAGAGTTCAGGGTTGAGGAGTTGGATGTGGAAATCGGGGGTAGGGAGTTAGATGATCTTAGATGGAACTCTACGTAACGTGATTCTCATGTTCATGTGCGACAGCTTCGTCGCGAAAGGATTCAGCAAAATGCGCAAACAAAAAAAATGCCTCAAGTCATACGCTCAACACCCTAAGCCCTGTACCCTATAACACCTATCCCCAAGGGTCCAAAGGACCCAATAATTAGGTACGCGGTTTTTCCTTAGTAGTTATGTAGGCTAGGATTTCGGAGAGTATATGACTGTTGGGTACTTGGACCCTTGGGGTATAGCATAGAGCTAAAGTTGAAACTTCGCCAGACAAGCTGCTTTCCACATTTTCGATCCTGTCGTTGA